ACCGCCTAATATAAAAAAGCTTGCCCCAAAAGTCAAAGCGATATCTTACATTCAAATATCGCTACTTTCATAAAGGCTTTCATGTTGGATTCAAATTTGATTACTATAAAAAAAAGCTCTGACTCACAACAAAAAACAAGGAGTATAAGAAAAATTCAGAGAAAAAACACTAAATTACAACATGACCATACCTTTGCCGCGATCTCAGCTTTGTACTCAGCCATCAGTTTGTCCCACATATCAATGCGCCTCTGTATGAAATCGGGCCATGGATTCATCTCTGTTGGCGCCATTGACACCTTGCTCTGCAAAAGAAATTTTACAGGGAAGTACCACAACTCAGATAAATACCTCTTTCTGAATTGGGATATTCTCCTTCAAATCGTCAGCCACCATTTTTACTTTGAAAGTATTCGCTCCAAGGTATGTGCTCTTTGAACGATTGACAGGCGCAATACGTCTACCTACTAGAACGGATACTGCACGAACTGAGTTCGTTGTTAGACCCAGTGTAAGGATCAACCTGGATAAAGAATGCAAATAAGTGAGGACTCACCAGCAATGAAACAGTATGAATTAAAAATAATAGAGGTGGCTGTAGCGACGACTAGCTAGTAAGAGGGTGCGTACAATAAGGACTGATGTGGGAAAAGCCGTAAACGCAGGGATTGCATCATGGTGAGGCAACACCAGATGACGTAACGGTTCGGTTCAGAACGCTTACTCATTCACTTCCTGCTATTTATTTTATATGACATTAAAGAAAAGATCATGAGGCATAGACAAACACTTAGTTTTTTTTTTGTCGCAAATGATCGATTGCAATAGTTAAGGCTGTGAAAAATGCGCTTATGAAAAAAGAAGCACAAACAATGAAGCAATTAATTAAGGCTATAAGCTGGCAAACCACGTGGAGAAGTTATTTGTACAAGATAAGATAGAAAATAGAATATTGGAGATTACCCAAGATCCGAAGAAACGTAAACTTCCGAAAGGTTTTGAAAAATTGGCGATTTGACTCCGCAACCACGACA